TATTATTATTATTATTGATCACAAATCCACACCCTCCCCTCAGTTCCTCTCTACTCTCCAGATGCTGTTTCAGGATTCATCCTAAATCATCATTTAGGAAGAATGCCAGGGCATAAGGGTATGGAGAGGCACCAGCTGAGAAATACTTGGAAGTCTCTGGAATTTTGGCATGGGAATACTAATTCTGTCATGCAAAAAAATCTGGAATTCACGTCTCTGTGGAGAGAATTCTGGGTTAACAGAATGAGGGGCAGGGAATAGAAAAAAAGAGGATTCTGTGGTGTAATGAAACTCTCTGCCTACAAAGATTAATCCAGCAGCAGTAACAAGGGGTGGATTGTTCCTATCACCCCTCAGCACAAAAGTCTCAAGCTACAGATTTTTGGAGGCAAGGGAAATACTTCATGAAAAGCCATCCCTTTTGCCATTAGGAAAGGCAGGATGGAGGCTACTTAATGTTTTCTGCCTAACCCAGTCCAGCCAGTTTCATGTGCAGCCTGCTATAACCAGGAATTTCAATGAACATACCTCAATTTCCTTTTGGTCTGCTGCAGGAACATCAAAGCACACACCCTAAAAAGAGAGAATAATTTCAATGGATTCAAGTCTAGCCTTTTACTTGACTGCAACTAAAAATGCAGAGCCTACAAATCTATGCACTAGAACAAACAGTTTTACATTGCAGGTGTGTTTTTTTAATACTTAAGACACTTTGAAGTCTTTGAACATTAAGTTGCAGCAATATTTCTAAAAACACCAGTACTTGTGCCGCCTTAATGTTTTTCTCAGTTCCACACGTTTTTATTTCCTCTGCATAGCCAGTACTTCCAATTCATATTTCCTTGCACTTTTAACAGTAAGCCTATAACCCTTTCCATCCTAAACTGTGGTCTGTTGGGCTTCTGCATTACTCATTTTGTAAATTCTTTTAAATCAGAAGCCTTAATCTATACTAAGAAATGAATACACCTACTGAAGTTAATATTTAGGTTCAGACCAAAGATCTCAAGTTTAACTGCTCGAACCATTAAGTACAATACACAATTCACAGGTTAAAAATGCTGTTCTTTGTTGGAAGGAGCTATCTGGATATTGAGAATTACAAATGTGATGCAGGGAAAGCATCCATAGATAGTGTTCCACTCCTCAAGTACAGAACAATGCTGTGAACAGAGGCAAGGACAGTAAAACAAATCTTAACAATTAACATAGTATCAGATATCATGCATGAATGACACATTCATAGCAGAAATAGTTCACTGGCATTAAGAAGTGTCCTCAAGTCAAATTCAAACCAGAAGCATCTGTGAACTAGATGTAAAATTCATACAGCAAGACATGCAGGTCCACTTTTACACAGATGGAATGGAAGAGAGGATACACACAGCACATAAGGCAAGAATTGTTTTTATTTAAAAAAAAACAAAACACAAAAATCAGGGAAAAAAGATCAAGTATCTCCCCTGACAATTGCAGAGAATAGGCAACAACTTGAAGAGCTCAGCAGCAAAGGTACAAAGACAGCTCACCATTCTCCCCTTGAGGAAACACATCCTGTTCACCTTCCTATCAACATCCTCTCCCAACAGCTCCCGCAGTCTTCGCCAAGCGTAGCTCATGTTGTTTATTTCTTCTGAGCAGTGCAGTATCATTGTAACAAACCCCTTAAGAGAAAGAAATTGGGCATGTACCATGAGGACAGACCAATAAGCTTCAGCACATCTATCAGACAGGAGGAATCTGCTAATTTACAGTCTATAGAAGAGAATTACAAGTAGATGCTACTAGGGGAAAAGCAAGTATATTTGTAGACACTATATTCTTGCTTTTAGCTAAGTCAGTAATCCCTAGAGGCTTAAGTAAGTTCACATAAACAGAATCGTAAGGCAACAAATAATTCTCTAATCTCTCTTTAAACAGCACAACAAAAGTGTGGTATTGTTTTTCAGATTCAAGACCAAGGTCAAGCCATACACCCTTACCGCATCTGAGTTCAGCAAGGAGCGCTGCTCAATGGAAGTAGCACCTGAAATGTGGGCAAGAGCTGCAGCCAGAGCATTAACTGGTCCCTTTTCTTGTATCAGGAACCGAGCAGATTCTTTGAAATACTCAATAGCAGTTTGAGGAACAGAATCCAGACACCTAAGTAATTAAAACAAACAAAATTATACACTAGTATTACTAGGCTCTAGAATAGAAGGAAAAAACAGCAGCCCTAGACTTCAGTAGTCACCAGTTCAGAGAGCTCAGCATGACAGCAATGGGCAATCTAAACAGCTCTTCTGAACTAGGAAGACAAGAGGATACAGCAGGGCTTGAGTGACTGAACACACCTGATAGCATCTTTGCTGGAAGCCTTTATTATATCTGTTGCAGTAGGAACACCGACACGCTTGAATGTAATACCCTGAAATTTGAAAAGCAAAATACAGATGAATGTTGCAGGCCATAAATAATTCAGTTCTAAAGAAGCAGTACTGGACTCCAATGAAACAAGCTTTAAAATCTTTCTTCTTTTCACCCTTAAGTCCCAACTTCTGCTAGTGAAAACTACTAGGTTAAGCTTATGGGGAAATGGTAAATACTTAAAAGCCTTTTATGTACCAGGTCAGTTTAAATAATCCCCTGACCTTAAACTGAAATAAAAAGACACCATTTTGGCAAATTCCAGGCGATAAAAACATGCTACAACTTCTGAGTTATTAATTTTAGTCTGGTTTACTTGGATTTAAGTTACACAGCCTTTCTTAATATATATCCAAGTTTTATGTTCATCTCATACCAACTGAATACTTCATCAGCAAGAAACCTACCACAGGGAACAGTGCAGAGTACAAAAATGGAGGTAACAACTCTCATTGAAGCTGCACCTATGCAAAACACTGACCAGACTCCAGGAAATCCTGCTAACTTCTTCTCTCTTTCCACAGGTACAATCTTACTGGCCGTTGCTAGCAAAGCATGGGCAGGAGAACGTGCAGCGCTCCCTTGCTCCGCAGGACCTGACCACGCACCCAGACCCCACAAGGTAACTGCACCTCAGCTACATGCTTGATAAGCCATGTGCTGTAACTGAAATTCTGAACAACACACGAGGATTTTACATGCTGCCCTGGCACACCACACTTGTGAGTGCTGGTGATAAGGAAACTCAGCCTCACCGCTTTTTGCTCCACGTATCTTAGCTGATATTCTTCCTTCCGCTGATAGAAGCAGATACAGATCCCAGTCCGTCCAGCTCGACCAGTGCGTCCCGAACGATGGATATAGGACTCCACATCCTTCACAACAAATAGCCTTATTACTTATCTCATTAATTGTCCTTTAATCAACGCATTGCATCCACATAACTTAGTAGAAGCTATTACAGCTAAAATTGAACAATACACAATGACTGCATCAGATAATTAAATTAAAAAACACTGTTTCACTAAAGCCCAATGAATAAGCTTTTCCTGAACCCTTTAAAAATCACAGATTAACTAAGTCTTGTTTTGGCATCAACACAGAGAATATGGGAAAACACTGAGTGTGTAACAATTCCACTCATCCTCCTGCAGATCAACTTATGCATGGTTACTGTGATATTCATGAAGAATTCACTGAAAAATTATCTTGTTTCTTTTAAGGCGTCCTAACTCTGCCAATGTTCTCTCTGCTTGGGTTCCCTCATCATATCTCCCCCTACTTAGTGAACTGTTCTTGCAAGACAAACTGCCTTTCTTCACTTCCCACTGCTTCCAGACTAGCAACCCCCCTATATGGGCCTGAAGGAAGAGGCTTTGCACAGCCTTAAAAGGTGACATTCTAAGGACACCATCTTTAAATGTACTAGGGGCTGATGGCCTTTGAAAAGATCTTCTAAGAAACTACCACTATCTATCAGGACATTTCTTATCCTTAAATGCCATGCTGATACAGTCTGAGGGGAGAATATCATCACCTAACAGCATTTGCTACTTGAAAACAAAACTACAGATTATTACAAGACACTCCTACCTTTGGTGGTGAGCTTTGTACAACCAGGTCTACTTCAGGGATATCTAAACCACGTGCAGCCACGTTGGTGGCAACCAGAACTTTAAATGTACCATTTCTAAAACCTTTCAGGGTGATCTCTCTTTGCTTCTGAGGAATGTCACCATGCAATGACTGGCAATCCTGAAAAACAGTATTATTATAAGACTGTACCAAAGACAGTGCTCCATTTTACAGTCAGTTTTGGGTACAATATCTTGGTATTTGACATACACCATACAAGATACAGAAGAAGTGAATTACCGAAGTTTATATTTTAGGTGTCTTACAATATTTTCTTCTTATTTATATACCTCAAAGTCCTTTAATAAAGGTAAGAAAACAGAATCACAACATCTGTCTAACTACTGTGATCTATGAAAACAACTATGCCCTAATTTTCCATCCACATCATCTATGCAAGGCTTAGCTCTTTCAAAAGTTACCAATAGTTTTGTCTTCTTAGTACTTATTTAGACATCTTTTCCAAAACAGTGTTGCTTCTTAATCCCCCTTGATACATGAATTTTCCCCACAATACACCATTTGACACCGTCTCCCACAGCATCCTT